CTTTAAAAAGTTTGTAATCATTAATTTATGAACCCTCCGATTTTAAATGACTTATAATTTTTGAAACATGATACGTGCATTTAAAACCCATTAATTTAGGAACCATCCAATTTTTTGATAAGGAATTAAAATTAAAATGTAAAATGTAAAAATTGCTGAAAATAGTATATAATAAATGTGGTTGACTTTTCCTTACTACTATTTATGGTAAATGTTAATTCTTATTATATATATATAGATTAAATGAAAGCTTATAAAAATAGTTCCAAAAATATAATGCAACTGGAGGGACGATAGTAGGTAATTATAATAGGGAAAAATGTCATTTGGTATCCTAATTATACCCGCTTTTCACTTTTGATACTCTAACTATCAGCTTAATTAGTTTATGTTATTTATGGCTCGTCCATCACTTTTGGTACAAACCGGTAGTCAGTTTTCTTTGACTGACTGTTGAACGGTTAAAACATGTGGGAAGTACATAGGAAAAGGAAAAAACTACCTCTTCTCTTGTGTTAGCAAGTGAACTTGACTTTTAGCATAAAAAATTTCAAGAAAGTGAAAAATATTCGCCATAAGATATTTGCCACATTTATGATTTTTCAGGAGATGGAGTCCAGCGTGCTGACTGAGCCGGTGGATGTGGTCAGGCCCCAGATGGCTAATAAATGATATTTTTTTAAGTTTGTACTAAATACTGATATTTGATGAACCATGTTAACGTTTCCGCTATTTTTTAATTATGTTGTCGAAAAACAAGAATTTTCCTTTCTTGAATCAAAACGAAACTTTGGGAATCCTACATTTAAAAGATTTTAGTATTTCTTTAATTCAGTCTATCCCGACATGTGATATAGGTTGAATATTTGCATAGCGATTCGACTACGGAGTTTTCTTTATGTCCTAATTCAGCATCTTAGGCCCAGTTAAAAAAAAAAAAACGATTTTCAGAAAAGAAAAAAGGTAACATCTCGTGATAATTAAAGTACTTTCGAAAATTTTATAAGTAATTTTCGAAAAGCGAAAATTTTACTCTGATATTTCAAGCAATATAAAGTGGGGTGTCACAACCTACCTGGTTGGACACTCTACGCCTCATTGCACGACCTTCGTCACGTGCCGTTGGATCGATTACAAGTTTACAACATGATGCTTGTAACCTTCTCGTGAGCACACCATGTAATTCCAAAGAATCGTTTTGTTTCTAGCTTTAACCAATGTGCTGTGTCTCACATCGAACCCAAAGCTGAGAGCATATCTCTTGTAAAAGTCGACCGCGTTTCGTAATTCCTGGAACTGCTGTCCTTGTAAGGTTTGATCGTTTCTTCACATTACGGTATCCAATATTTAGTCCCCGGGTGTGACTACAAATTAGAGATGTGCAACTGTTGTTTGCGAGCCTTAAAAGATTGTGATAAATTCAAAAGACACAAAAAAAAAAAAAATAGTATACTGCACCACACAGTTGCACATAACTACTTTGATGGTTGCACCATACCTGTATGTGGTTCACCCACATCCATTGGTACTGCAGCTCAACCAAATTAGGTATCAAATACCTAAAAATCCAACAAAAAATAGAATGAAAATAAAATAAAAAGCAGGGGAAATCATATATTCGCATGCAAAATTTCTTAAATTATATCATATAATTACCCAATAATTATTGTTTGAATATTATTAACAAATTGAATAAATACAACAAATAATTACCAATGTACGATTTATGTTGTTTGATATACCTGACCTAGAGTTTGAGGTCGTCGATCTCTGAGTAAGGCGCCTCAATCGGAATTTTCGGATCGGAGTGAATGAGACGAAATAATCTCACGCAATAGACGAAATAATGAGACGTGAATGTACGAATTTCGACCGGTAAGCTCGGATAAAACAATTTATTCCAAGAACAGAATTCGGATCTCTGACGGAAAATTGTCTAATCTGAGCTAGGGGTTCGTGAAATTTTTTTCCCTCGAGCTGCGGGATTCCCAGCTTTGAGTCGAAGGAGGTGTGAGATTGTTTTGTTGAATTACCAACATTCCCTTCAATGTAATTGCAGTATTAATTGTCGCCCTCTGCTTGATGCCGTTTGATTGTATTGATCGAGCGTACCTTATTTATTCTCGTTTCTTTCGGTAAGACCCTTTTCACTGGAGCCCAACCCATTTAATTATATTGATAATATTAGGATAGTAGGATTGAGTTAAAATTGAGTATGAATTAATTTGGTTGGAGATTTTTCTTTTACAAGCATAGATTTACTCACTAGTTTCTATTTACGAAAATGAGAAAAAAATCTGCTTTTTTTTTTTTGTTGGTACAAGGGAAGAAGGCAAAGCATAAGAGCTTGAGTAACAAACGTTCCGCGAGTAAGAAACGCCAATAAGGTCGTGTTCTAACCACGGTCGAACAACATCTGGTGGGACGATAAAGAAATGATACTCCAAAGATCCTTCCTTTGCGAAGGAAGCCAAGTGGTCGGCTGCAAAGTTCGCTTCACTGAATACATGATTTACCTTGACCATCCAATCTCGACCAAGGAGTTCTTTATTACCTAGAATGAGCCCGGCATGCACCCCCTGAACCTCGTCGAGCGATCTAGAAAACCGCACAACATTCTCATTATCCACTTTAGCTACAACTCGTCGAAAACCCAATTCCCATGCCAAAGAAAGGCCCTGAAATAATCCCCATAACTCCGCCGCCATGATCGAGCAGAACCTGATGAGCCCTAACCAATGGCCTTGCTCGTCGCGGATGAGTCCATCCACACAACCCACACCCGAAGCAGCATTAAAGGAGCCATCCGAGTTTAGTTTCACCCATATCCCGACAGAGGCATTTCCCCGTCACCCCAAGTTTTTTATCCCCTTCTAAAACCTTCGTTAAACCCGTGATATAACTCTTTATCACGATTAGTCCATCAGACACTTCCCCTGGAAGAGGAATTCATTGCGCCACCTCCATAGCTTCCACACCACCACTCCGAAAGTGGTCTACCAGTTGGCCACATCAATGTTCTGTGAATTAACCAAATTCAACAATAACCACGGCTCTAGGTTTAATGCGAAGAAATTAGCATGAAATTTACTTGGGAGCAGACGTCGCCAAATCCGCTCTGCTAAAGAACAGTCACGTACGACATGCAACGCAGACTCTTCAGCTTGACCACGCATCTCGCAAATCGTATTGTACGTCAAATGTCGTCGTTTTCTTTCTGAGTTAGTCATCAGGAGATTTTTCGCGAGGAGTCATAAAAAGTGTCTGACATAATGTTACGTGTTGAATTTTTTGATTGTTTTTCTTAACATGCACGAGAAGATTTGTTCTTGTTGAAATTATTATTAAGAGAACAAATAAGTCAATAAGAAAAATCGCTAACAAATACGCAATTATTATTATTATTATTATTATTATTATTATTTTTCTGGAAGCAAAATTAACATTTTATTTACGCATCAAATTAGAAAGTGTCACTCAAATTGCTATTTAAAGTTGAACTCGAGTTTGAGTTTTTATTCCGCAGAGCTATTAACTAAACGAATTTGAGTTCGACTCATTTATTTAACGAACCGAACTCAAGATTTAATGGGTTGAACTATAAATAAATAGGTAGAAATATTATATTTTGAGCCTTACAAGAAACTCGAGCTCGACTCATTTATCAAACGAGATGAGTCGAGTTCAAACCTAACAAACCATGTTGAGTTCACGAATTGCTCATTTTTAATAACAAACTTAATTAGTCATTTGTGAACCAATGACTTTACTCCTAAACCTACGTATAGATCTATCAGTACAATTCGAATATAAACATTGAAATATATAATATATTGTCATTCCATTTAAATAGATTATAAATATAAAAGGTCTTAATCTTATATTGCAATTGAAACGAGATTATTGAAACATAAATGCCTTGAAATAATATTCTTAAAGTAACAAGGTACAAATGGATTTCAAGTTTCAACTTTGATCAGTTTGTTTTTTGGGGAAAATGGGTGATGGTAACTTATCTTAATAGTTAAAATCTTTAGGAAATTAATTAAATAGGCAATTTAAAACTTATAAAGCAAACGAAAAGAGTGACATTGTGAAAATTAGGTTTGGCAATACAAGACCACATGCACAGGGTATTGTAGAATATTTTATTGTTCATAATTTCATATGGATTAAGAAAAAGTTAATTAATTTCTCGAAATATTATTTAGTTTTCTAATTGACCTACCAAATTTGAGATTGTTTATAAGTAATTAGATATAAGGTAGAAATATAATAATTCAAATGAATGTAAATGGCATACCAAAATAGATTAATTTCCACTAAAGTCGTAAAGTAGAAAAAACCAACATTGGTGGCGTCACATACAATGCTCTACTAAATTTCTTTCTTTTCTAATTAAGCTTGCGTTTATTCACAAATCATAGAAAGGTACCAACTTTTGCACAAATTGCAATGCATTGTCTTCTATTTCAGGGGAAATTTTTAGTTTAAAGTTTGATTTATAAAGATATTTAACATGTTATATTTTTTCAGAAATGACAAAATATGTAACTAGACCCAATTTTATACTCCAGATAGTAATACATACCTAAAAAGTTATAATCACTATTTATTTGGTATTAAATAATAAGATAATGCTTTTAGTTTTTTCTTTTCACAAATTGCAAAGTCATTTAGATTTTAGATTTAAAGGTGGAAAAATATGAAGCACATTTTTTGGCAAATAGACTATAGATTAGTGTGGGCTCCTACGAAATATCAAACACTCCAATTACAGTTATCATTAATGAATTTAGCTCGAGTTGAGTCGAAATATCACACACTCCTATGAAATATAGAACACGCAATGTTGGTGATTTTGTTTTTTCTTAACTGAGGAATATTCCAGATCTAATTCAGAGGGCGGTTATGTCACAGCTGTAAATTTATTTTTGTCCGTCAGATGTTATATACATCGAACGGCATACCTCACAGCATATGTTGCTTTTTAATAACGCAGAAAACCAAACTGAAACCATTTCATTCCATTTCATCTCTTTTCCCTCGAGCAAGAAAACATGCAAAGACTGGAGAATACCTCTGCCAATTTCGGCAATCTTCTCGCCGCAGATCGTCAAACCTTTCTCGACCATATAAATTTACTGCTATTCAATTCGAACTACAAAATACAAGTTGGATTTGATGACGGAAACTACTTTTGGTTTCCGAGCCAGTATCGGAATTTCCAGATCTTTAACCAGCTTCAACAGCTCAATGCGGGCCAAGCTATCCAGTTTTTAGATTTTGCGAACGCGATATTCGATGATAAGCATTATCGGAAAGAATTAGGTAACATTTTTAATAATCGATTTATTATATAACTGTATATCGTAGATCTAACTTTGTGTGAATGTGTTTTCGCAGAATTTGATGCCGCGACTGCCACTTTTACTCTGGTTGACCTTGAACCAGCCGGTCAAATTCCTGTGATTGTTCAGCCTGGCGGCGGCGGCGGTGGCGCCAATCAAATTCCGGCTATTATTCCTCAGCAGCCTGGAGGAGGAGGCGGCGACGGCGTCGGTCAGCCTGGCGGCGGCGGCGCCGGTCAAATTCCTGTGATTGTTCAGCCTGGCGGCGGCGGCGGTGGCGCCAATCAAATTCCGGCTATTATTCCTCAGCAGCCTGGAGGAGGAGGCGGCGACGGCGCCGGTCAGCCTGGCGGCGGCGGCGCGGGTCAAATTCCTGCTGGAGGAGGAAGCGGCGGCGGCGCCGGTCAAATTCCTGTTCCGCAGCAGCCTGGCGGAGGAAGCGGCGGCGGCGGCGGTCAGCCTGGCGGCGGCGGCGGCGTCGGTCAAATTCCTGTTCCTCAGCAGCCTGGAGGAGGAATCGGCGGTTCCAATAGCGGCAGTTCCAATCCTGCCAATCCTGCTCCTGTCGTTCCTCAGCCGCTTCAGCCTGGAGGAGGAAATCCTCCTCGTATGGGTCATGTGGCGGCTAAACTCTCTTTCGTAAAAGCAATAGCTGATGCTTTCCTTCACTTTACCACTGATGTTAATAATCCCGTCTCTGCGCAACAACTTACTCATTTTGTCGTGGACAGACTCACAAGTGCAGGCATACCTTTTGATGCGGATAAATTGCATGAGCCATTGGTATCAACTCTCGATCTGTTAACTGATGATCTCGACCAAGTTTATGGCGGTCAGATTATTAAGGCGACTAACGGATGGTACCTAGAGGTAGTTCAACTAACATTTTGAATTGACTTGGCTACATATCAATTAATTATTCAATAGATTCTTTTTATTTGATTTTGCAAATTCTTGTTTCAACTTGCAGTGAAGGAATGAGAACCTCCTCTCGTAGGCACAGGTAATAACGGGTTTTTAAGATTTTCAGAACTTGCTTGGATAGTTGGTGTTTGATTTGTTATATCGTTTTGTTTCTATTTTGAAGTTATCTTTCGGTATAATTCATTTTTTCCTGTCTTCTACACATGAACTTTATTGATATATGCTGCCTTGGTATGTTATGTTGCCGTGTTTCTGGGGCTTTTTGGGTGTTTTTTGGGTGTTATTATACTGGGCTGCTGTTGGTTGTTCTTTTTTTAAGTTTGGTTTTTCTTCCTTTGGTTATTTTTGTTGGTGTGTTAAGAGTTTGGTAGTTTTAATTTTTAAGTTTTCCTGTGTGATATGAGTAATCCTTCCTTCTTTTCTTGGCTTTCCTATGACTGATATTGTTGTTATTCTTTCTCTCTTGAACATTATTTCAGGTTCATGGAAGCACGGACGAGAGGCGTGCATGAGGATCGAAGGATTCATCTCTGATTTCATTTTTCAATAGAATTTTACTTTGTCCTTCGTCACTTACAAACTCTTTTTTTTCCCCTTTCGTGTGTTCGTTGAGGCAAGACATAGCTAGTCTTGTACTGGTTCTGCTTGAAAGATAATCTCTGATTTCATTACTCTCTTGTCATGGTGTTAGTACGTGGTTTCTGCTTGAAATATTGTTTAGACAAAACTAAAAAAAAAAAAAAATCTTTGGGAATTTTTTGGTGGAAGCTGCCTGCATTTTTTATTTGTTTTTTGTTGGGTGCTTGAGAGCTTACTGTTGTTTTTTGGGCCTTTGTTGTAATGGGCCTTGTGTTTGATTTTTCGGCTCTAGTAGCTTTCTTTTTGAGGTTTTGTTTAGTCCTCAGGACATATTTATGAGCTGAAGGTTTACCTTCTCTATCCCTTTTCCTCCCCCTTTTTTCACGTATGTTCTATCTTCTTCTTCCCTTTATTTCTCTATTTTTCCTTTTTCTAAATCCAGACCCACATCTCCAAATCAAGAAATTGATTCGTTTTTATGTATTTTTTTTTGTTCATGAGTTCTGGTTGCTGATGTTTAGTTGTGGAGTTAATATTTATGCAAATACATTGTTTTTTTTTGATGAACACGTTAATAGGGTTTACAGTTTGGCGCTGTCCATTTCCTTCCTCAGTTTGCAGGCTGGTTTTGAGGGAATTGTTTTGTGTAAATGATTTCTCAAAATTTATTATTTTTTTTTTTTCAAAACGAAGAATTGCATTAATAATAACTGAGAAAGATACAAAGTTTGAACATCAGAAATTAACCATTAACTGTCACATACCACAGACACTAACTAATTTTTCAAAAAGAAAAAAAAGAAAAATTGGGAGATATGTGTTTATGATAAATAACTTCGTATTTGAAGAGAAAAAATTCACAAGCTAATGACTGATTCATTGTTTTCTTTATGACAATTAAATTGATAGTTAAGGAGTTGAGTTTTAAATGAAAATATTTATTAAGAATTTGTGTTAATGAACATTACAACACACTAAATTGTATTGATATGCTTTTTCACAGTAACAAAACCAGTTTTACAAATTTAAATATTTTGTAATAAGATTTTCGAGACTAACATAGAATTATCAATTTTAAATTTTGGCCCTAAATTTTATTCCCCAAGTGTCAACCTTACAGTGGACGAGCGAGTTATTTTCTTCTTCATTTATATTGCTTCTATTATTTTCGTTGTTTTCACCTATTAACTCTACAACGTCCAGACGATGTACATATCTAATAGAATTTGGAGGATGGTCTTTTTATCCACAAAGCAAATCAATTTCCTACCTTACGTGAAACGAATAACATACTAAAAGTAGGCAATTTTGACTTTTGAAAAGATAACTGTAATTTTATGATGTGATGATAATTGAAGCAAAAATTCTTGTATGAGATAGTCTAATCGTTATGTAAAACAACATTTTAATTCGAAAGTATTTATATTTGGTGAAAGTATTTATATTTGTTGGAAAGTCTATCTAACAATAAGTCGAGGATGTGCACACACACAATATATAATGATGAATTTGACTTATTATTAAAATCAGAACATTTGTGATTTGTGTATACGTTGCATTTTAAGAACAGAACAAACAAGTCATCATTAGTCACGCAGCTTGAGCTTCAAAACTTTTCGTCTCCACAAGGCAGATGTAAGAACCACAACAAAATTCATAGGAAATAACAGAAAATGAAACTAAAATTTTCTCATTAAAAAAAAAAAAAGAGGCCTTTTCCTTCTTCAGTCCCAAAATGTTACCATTCAATGGTTTAATCTTTTTTACCCGATTCATCGGCTGCAGGTAAAGACAGATCGCCTCTCTCTACCAAAGGCTGCAATTCGTCTTCGGCCAACTTCTTCACCATAGAGTCGGAGGTCTCTAAGTACGCATTAATTACCTTCAGAATATTGTAACGAAATCGCAAAGCGGGTTTAAGTACAATACTGCAATTAAGCCCTTGGCAAGCATTCTGTTTCATAAATGCACCGTATTAAACTAGTAATTTTTTTTTTAAAAAAAAAAACCAACAACAACAACCAACAAATGCTTCAATTTTCGCAACCCGATTAGTAGCCATTTGTACAACAAATACAAACATAAAGATATATTTAACATTAGATTTTTTTTTCGAACTTTGTATTGTCCAACAAGAAATACTAAACTTATGGGGAAAACGTTCAAAACAAGTGCCTCTAACCTGTGACCCTTGGACCATATTTCACATTTTCCTTTCAGAGCCTTTTCCCAGAGAGTCGAAGCAAATGCAGGGCAGTCTAGAACGAGTTTCCTGATGGCCCGACTCGAATGAAAATGTTCGAGAATGTGCTCTTGTTCGGGCTCATCCACCTTAGGCTGGCAAGCAATGGATGCAATAACTTCATGCAATTGGCTCAACTTTTCATCCAAAATAGGGTGGAGTATTCTATCAGCACCTCCAGTAACAACCTAATTGCAATTTTTTCATTATACAATCTCATTAGCTATCGAGCCAATAAACAGAAATTAGTGGCAGTTTTCGGAACTAATTGCTTATAAAATTACAGATACATGAATTCTAATAAAAAGAAACTGAAACAAGTACAACTGTACAAAAGTGTGGTGTGCTTTCGAAAGAGAACTGTATGGGTTTGTTCTTAGCCAAGACCTCAAGGGTCATATTCATAATATTTCTGATTTTTTGGCCCATTTAGGGTGTTGATTATATATAAAAAAACAAAAAAAAAAAATATTTATAATATTTCTAAAAATAACTATACATCATATATGACCTGATGTAGCGCAACGTAAACGAAAAGGGAACAATAGATAAATCTCAAGAACTGATAAAATTATTCATAAACATCCCCCGTCTTCAAATGAAAGGGACGAATATCGTCCAAACTATTCCTAATCCTTATCTTGCTAATCAAGTAAATAATAATACCTAGGAAAAGAGAATAAAGCATAATAATAAAATATCTAGGAAATAAATAACTAAACTAAAGATGGTAAACGATCATATTTTTCCATATATGCCATCGCGATCTCGTCTCCATCATCCTCCCCCTGTTGGGAAGGATTCGCCCTCGAATCCAGGCCGATCTCGTCTCCGTCTGAGTTATCACCGAGATAAGGCACCAAATGTTTGACGTTAAAAACGTCGGAAGTCCGAAGATGGGAAGGTAAACGAAGACGGTAGGCGTTCGGATTAATCTTCTCGAGGATTTCAACAGGACCAATTTTACGGGCCGACAGCTTATTGTACTCATGGGCCGAGAAACGATCTTTAGTCAAAACCGCCCAGACGAAGTCTCCCACCTCAAACTCCACATGGCGACGCCGCATGTCGGCATGCTTCTTGTAGCCGGCGGTGACGGTCTCCAAACGAGCCCGGGCGGACTCGTGAGTGCGCCGCAAATCCGCCATCAACTCCTCGGCACGAGGCTCGGCCGCCACAGCCGATGGCAAAGCGAGCAAGTCCGCGGCCCCTCGCGGACGGACGGCGTAGACCACCTCAAACGGGGAGAAGCCCGTCGCACGACTCCGAGCCGAGTTATGAGCGAACTCAGCCTGCGGGAGTCGTTGGTCCCAACTCTTCAGATTCTCGCCCACCAAACAACGCAATAAATTCCCAAGGGACCGATTGACGACCTCCGTCAGACCGTCAGTCTGAGGATGATAAGCGCTACTGAAGTCTAACCGAGTGTTGGCCAGACGCCACAAACTACGCCAAAAATGGCTAAGAAAACGCGTGTCACGGTCAGAAACAATAGAAGACGGTAGGCCATGCAGACGATAAACCTCCCGAAAAAATAAAGTAGCCACATGGAGGGCATCTGCAGTCCTCTTGCTTGGTATAAAATGGACCATCTTAGAAAAACGGTCGACGACCACAAAGATAGAATCATTACCTCGTTGTGTACGAGGCAAACCCAGGACGAAGTCCATACTAATAGCAGTCCACGGACGCGAGGGAATCGGTAATGGCCTGTAAAGGCCTGCATTGGACGCCACAGCCTTAGAAACTTGACACGTACGACAACGCTCCACAAAACGAGCCACATCCCGACGTAACGAGGGCCAGAAAAAGGAGCGACTGACCAGGTCAACAGAGCGATAGCGGCCCACGTGCCCAACACCATGAAGGTCTGCCACCACCTTCAGACGCAGGCTACAGTCGGGAATACATAACCGAACACCACGAAATAAGAAACCATCAGCAAGAGCATAACCATCAACAGAGCCAGAGGCAAGGCGAGAAAAAATGGGCCCGAAAAAGGGGTCTGTAGCATATAGATCCTTCAACAAATCAAACCCCACGACCTCAACCCGCATATCAGTCAACAATAAAGAACGGCGACTCAAGGCATCTGCCACACGATTCGAAGCACCCGAGCGATGCTTCAAAACAAAAGTGAACTGCTGAAGATAAGATGTCCATGTAGCATCGCGAGAAGAAATATTACCTTGAGAGCAGAGGTGGCGATGGTCTGTGAACAAGACAAACTCCCGCTGAAAGAGATAATGCCTCCAATAATGAACGGCCCGAAACACAGCATAGAACTCAACGTCATATGTGCTGTAGTGTAATCGCGGGCCCGACAACTTCTCACTAAAGTAAGCGACAGGGCGCCCCTCCTGGCTCAACACAGCACCAATCCCGACCTTCGAAGCATCACACGAAAGCTCAAACGGGAGAGAAAAATCAGGAAGGACCAAAACCGGGGCAGATGTGAGCTTGCTCTTAATAAGATCAAAAGCATCGGCGGCCTGAGGGGTCCATACAAAGGACTTTCCATGAAGGCAGTCCGTGATAGGAGCGGTGATAGAACGAAAATGTGAAATGAAACGTCAGTAAAAAGATGCTAACCCGTGGAAGCTACGCGCCTCCGTGAATGAGGTCGGAGTCGGCCACTCCCGAATAGCGGCGACCTTGCTGTTGTCCACGCGAATGCCAGCCGCTGAGATGACAAAGCCCAAAAAGAGGACCGAGTCGACCACAAAAGAGCACTTCTTAGGCGCCGCATAGAAGGCCTCGGATCGCAGTATCTTCAAAACCGAACGAACATGCTCCAAATGCTCTGGGACAGTGCAACTATAAATGAGGATGTCGTCGAAATAAACGACAACACATCGCCCAATGAGGTCGCGCAAGGCCTGGTTCATCACACGCATGAAAGTGCTAGGTGCATTAGAAAGACCAAACGGCATCACCAGCCACTCGAAAAGACCCTCCCGGATCTTGAAAGCGGTTTTCCACTCATCGCCCGGCCGGATCCGAATCTGATGATAACCACTCCGAAGATCAAGTTTGGTAAAAACCGAAGCCCCATGTAACTGGTCCAATAGGTCATCGAGGCGTGGAATAGGAAACCTGTAACGAACCGTGATCTTATTAATGGCACGGCTGTCAACGCACATACGCCACGAGGCATCCTTCTTTGGAATGAGCAAGGCCGGCACCGCACACGGGCTCAAACTGCGACGAACAACCCCCCGTTGTATCAACTCCTCCACCTGGCGCCTCAACTCTTCGTGTTCAGCCGGGCTCATACGGTAATGAGGAGGATTAGGCAGAGAAGCACCGGGCACCAAATCGATATGATGCTGAATGTCCCGAAGCGGAGGAAGACCAGAAGGTAGCTCGGCAGGAAAGACATCAGAAAATTCATCAAGCAAAGGTTGAATAACGGTCGGCGGGGCCGTTGGTGTGGACATATCAGTACCCAAAAGAAGCACGACACACGGTGCCTCCCGCAATTCGCCAGCAAAGGCTGTGTGAGACAATAAAAGAACCTGTGGTGGCGGTGGCGGAGGCAAGGGACGAGGAGGCGAAGGATGAAGGATCAATCTAACTCCCTCAAACATGAAACTGTATGTGTTGAGACGACCGTCAAAAGCCACCGCGCGATCAAATTGCCATGGACGACCTAATAAGAGATGACACGCGTCCATGGGCACTACATCACACCACACCGAGTCACGATACTTGGGCCCGATGGAAAACTGGACCAACACCCAACGGTCCACCGTGATGGCGGTACCTCGCTGAATCCACGCCAAAGTGTACGGCTGAGGATGCGGTACCGTCGACAACTGAAGGCGATCCACAGCATCCTGGGCCACTACGTTTTCACAAGAACCAGAGTTAATAATAAAACGACAAACACGACCATCTACCGTACATGTAGATCCAAAAATATGGTGACGCTGTAAAGATTCAGTAGTGTCAGAAACTCGATGTGCCAAACACGAGCGGCGAAGAACCAAAGCAAGGCCCTCGTCACCACACAGATGTTCCTCCTCCGGGTCTGGCTCGACATCAAACTTTGGCGGCCCATCATAAGCTACCTCCGCCGAGCCGTCAAAGTCATCTGCCAGTAGAGCCCGAGAGCTGTTGCGGCGGGGACAGGCGGACTGATGGTGGCCGGCCTCGCCGCAAGAAAAACAGCGGGGACCACCTCCGGCGCGCGACCCCTCCATCCCGACTGAGGCAGTCCTGATTCCTACGGCCGTGCTGGTCGACGCTCCAGCCGAGGGAAATCCGGTCAGTCCTGTCGAGTTGCTGCGACCACCCGGCAACGGCGACCGGTTCAGCCCGGGCGACGAAGACGGAGCGCCTCCTACGCGCGGTTGAAAACCTGAAGACGGCAAGGGTCGCCGCGACTGCTGGTGTTCAATGAGTAAGGCCCGTTGATGAGCGGCAGAGACGGTTTCCGGGGTGAACAAGTTCAACATGTCGCGAATGGCAAGTCTCAATCCTCCTACATAACGAGACACCTTTTGAGTCGTCGTTTCACGTAGCTTGACACGCGTAAGAAGACGATAGAAATCCTCCGTATACTCGTCCACAGATCGAGCTCCTTGTCGTAGGTTATGGAGTTGTTGATACGTGGTACTGATGTAGTTGAACGGAAGAAACTCCCGCTCGATATGTTTCCAGAATTTGGCCCACGTTGCGATTTTAGGTTTACCCAACAGACGCCTCTCGTCTTTGAGATGTTGCCACCAGGCGACTACCCGTCCACGCAGTCGCGTGCCGACAAGCCCAACTCGATGGTTGTCGGGCACGTCTTTGTACTCAAAAACCGCCTCCACTGAAGCAAGCCAATCCAGAAATTTGGCGGCTTCCAGCCCACCCGAGAACTCAGGGATATCCACGCGAAACGCACTCTCCCAACGCTGTTCGCCGCGCGGGTCGTCGTCTCCACGAGGATCATCTCGCCCAAAAGGGTTCCCCTCCTCCTCCGTAGCGTCCGAGTCGCCGCCCTCCTCCTCGTACGGCGCACGTCGGCCACCACCAAAACGCGCGTGACCGCGACCCCCACGGCCACCATGCTGCCCACCGCGACCGCCGTCCCGATGATCGGGCCCGTCACGGTTCGTCTGCTCGCGTCGCATCAAGGTTTGGAGAGCCTCACAAATATCCTCCATTCCCACCGCCAAATCCGACATATCGCGGCCCATCGATTGGACTGCCGCCCGAAACCCTCGCCTTGTCGCGTGAGGGCTTCAATTGCCGCGTCCATTCGCTCGTCAGCCGTGGTGTCGTTTCTCTTGGGCGGCATCGTGGATCGTAGCTAACCCTGGATACCAACTGATGTAGCGCAGCGTAAACGAAAAGGGAACAATAGATAAATCTCAAGAACTGATAAAATTATTCATAAACATCCCCCGTCTTCAAATGAAAGGGACGATATAAATAAAGTCCAAACTATTCCTAATCCTTATCTTGCTAATCAAGTAAATAATAATACCTAGGAAAAGAGAATAAAGCATAATAATAAAATATCTAAGAAATAAATAACTAAACTAAAGATGGTAAACGATCATATTTTTCCATATATGCCATCGCGATCTCGTCTCCATCATGACCTCTTTCCCGTACTTGGACCTTAGCAACTCATCTGCCATTTCACAGCATGCATCAACAAGTTTCTGCAAAACACCGTATAACATCTGAATATCATGCAAGAATAAAGTGAATATGAATTTACAGCAAGACAAGAGTTGGAAGCTAATGAAGTCGAAAGGAAATAGGAAAATGCNATCCAAATTGCACGAGGTACAAACCTCAACAAGCCCACTCTTGACGAGCAATTCTTGCCTCCGCTTGAAAGAATCCCTCTTACCACCTTCATTAGACTGTTTATTTGAATCAGAGTTGTCATTACCACCTTCATTCGACTGTTATGTGTAATGTAGTAATTATCTTTGTTTTGTAGTGATAATTTTGTATCTCCAAGGATAACAGATCGAGTAAGCTCAAATTGACGTAACATGAAACCTATTAGTCCGAAAGCACCATGCAGAGCAACAAAAGTCCACAGACCACCTAATTGACACCAACGGGTCAAATCTCCTTGTGCTTCAGGACCCCATAGTAATAATAAAGAATGCGATAAACTATTAGCAGGAGTAGAAACCGCGGCCGTTAGGAAATTACAGCCTTCTAAATAGGAACTGGCCAATCCGTGAGTATACCATGAAGTTACAAAGGTTGTACCTGTGAACCAACCCCCTAAAGCGAAATAGGCACAAGGGAAGAGCAATAGGCCGGACCAGCCTACAAAAACGAAACGGTCCCTTCGCAACCAGTCATCCATAATATCAAATAAATCATTTTCATCTTTGGTAAATTTACCAAGGGCTATAGTCATAGTGATCCTCCTATTCAACTACTTCAACCATTTCCGAGCACCTCATAGTATGTTCGGGGCGTTTGAAGATTCGATCATTTCTCTATGATTTCTCTTGCAATGCTCCCGGGGTCTCGAAGAGAAAAAGACTTTATTGGCCCATAAACTCACCTAGGGAAATTCATGAACTCAATTTGGTACTAAACATATGAACCACGAATTGTCTTCTTATGACTCATGAATTAGATATATGAATCTTCTCAAAGACCTTTGCAAGGAACAAGCGATCCCCTTTCTCACTATTAAATGACCCCCCCTTCTTGGATTAACTAATGTTATTCTTAGATCTTGTTCGTGAGATTGAGAAAAAGAAAGAGATTTCTAGACTTTTCGAATTTCTATGTATATTAAACTATTCCAATTCCATATACACAATTTGATTAATTTCTTTTTCAATTTTTTTGAGTGTCTTCTTTCTTATATCTCCTTTTCCTTCAAAAAAAATCAAAAACCCCAGATTCTCGCGAGTCAAAGTCAAAAGGGCACTTCGAATATTTTTCTATTGAATCTTATCTCTTAAAAAGGAATTAGATAGATCGAAATTGATCTTGATCTGTAGAAAAATAGTGGAAATGGCTCGTATCTTGTGACTTGGAGGAAAGGTTTCTCTGTAGAGGAAGGGAGTAACAGTTTATTCCTAGAAAAAATCTAGGAACAAGAAGATATTGAATCGTAAATGTCGACAAATTCTTTCGAAGTCCAAGGAAATGAAATTTGAAAATGGAAGTGGGCCAACCATTCTAATTCAAATTTAATCTCTATCGAATTTGAATATCAGAATAGCAGATATAGTCATAATTAGATGGGTCAGGTCTACTTCCCTTTCTTTTGTTGATTTCGAATCTTTTCAATGGATTTGGTTGGTAATAAGGATCTTTGGTGATTCAAGAGGCGACTTATGATTATGAATAATAATCAAAATTTACCGAACAAATCTTCCATTTACTGATTCTATTCGAACTCAGTAATTCAGCATAACGTATTATACGGCTTTTGTATTTCAAAAATTCTAAAAACAAAATATCTCTATTTTCTGAATGCTAGGGCTGGGCTTTTATGAAAAAAAGGAAAAGCCCGTTATCGGATTTGAACCGATGACTTACGCCTTACCATGGCATTACTCTACCGCTGAGTTAAAAGGGCTTTTTTGATTGAATTCCCGAACAAGTCACTAGGTAGATTTTATCTACCTGCGGATATATATTATCATATATATATATATTATCATAATTATATGCAGTAGAGTCATAGCCGGTTAGTGGCTGATTTTAAAATAATTTACCCAGCAAGTCTAAGGTAAAAAGAATTGTTTCAAGACCAGCCCTAATTTATTTATTTCTTTTTATTGTATATTGGGATGATCCCTGTCAAACAAAGCAAAATTCACTTGATTGATACATAACATACATATACACGTACCAATTCGACATAAACAAAATTTCAAGATATTTCAGCGAATCATGTAATGAAGAAATTCTACTTGTCCCCTTAACTTCTGGATCCCGCTTTCTAGATTTATTTTAGTAGAGTTATATTAAAGAATGTCGATTCTAATGAACAATTTACGGATAGGAATGACGAATCAAAAAATTCTATACAAGTTTGAAAAACGGAAAGATCCCTCGGATCCAAGCATTCTATATATATTGACAATTTCAAAAAACTGATCATACTATGATCATAGTATGAGGGGAGTTGGGCAGGCGGGCCCCCATTGTCTAGTGGTTTAGGACACCTCTCTTTCAAGGAGGCAGCGGGGATTCGAATTCCCCTGGGGGTAGGGTACTACGAAAGGAAGTTGATCATGAATTAGCAATAAGCCTAAAAAGGATTCTTCCTGGATCGATGCCCGAGTGGTTAATGGGGACGGACTGTAAATTCGTTGGCAATATGTCTACGCTGGTTCAAATCCAGCTCGGCCCAACAATTCGCCAACCGACTGTGAGATGGTATAACCCCCCCTTTATCCCATACGAAGATAAAAAAGAATTAAATTTTTTGATAGATCCGTTAGTTCCCTGGGATTGTAGTTCAATTGGTTAGAGCACCGCCCTGTCAAGGCGGAAGCTGCGGGTTCGAGCCCCGCCAGTCCCGACAGATCCAATCTCCAATAAATACATCAATTCATCCTTTCTTTTCTATTTTTTCCATTTCGCTTTTATTGTTTAGGTTTCTAAGTATGCAATTAAAAGACACGGAAGGGCAATCTGATGATTCTTCAACGATTGTCTAAGGAAGACGCAAGGTAGGTGTTTATAGAAAAAACAAATAAACGGCTGATAAATAAAGGAGTTTTGGGTTGATTGGGCTAGGAATCAAAAATGGGATTTGGTATGGATAAAAGAACTTAGTATGTTATACTATTCAAGTCGCGGCGGCGGGTTGATTTGATAGATCAGATGTTGTTATTCAATGATATTGATCCGATTCAAGATCATCGAGAGGTAATTCATTGAATTTAGAGACGAAAGAGTTCTTATCTCTAGGGGATTAAATCCCAAGTTATTGCGAAGTAAAAAGCCGATGAGATTATGGAAGTTAATATTCTTGCATTTATTGCTACTGCACTATTTATTCTAGTTCCTACTGCTTTTCTACTTATCATTTACGTAAAAACAGTTAGTCAAACTAATTAATTCAAAAATTCAATTCAATGAAACTTTCCTTCTGAGTTCTTATCAAAAATTGACGAAGTCAAACGAAAAGGATTCCAACTTCACGCCTTAACTTAAATAAACCGAGCAGACTCTAATTCGAATTAGAAGTATTCTAAGAGATAGATAGTTTGGTAGAAAGATTCGTCTATTTCTTTCTACCAAACTATCTATCTCTTAGTCTAGAAAGTTGTAATGTAGAATAAAGATAAAGGTTTTAGTTTCTACAAATCAATCTAGAATATTCTCTTCATATATAATATATATTAATTTGATATGATATATTGTATGTGGATAGAATTAGCCCAAGACCCAATTTGAATTTGATCCATCTATTTGTTCCGATCAATCTGAAAGAATTCTTATCTTAGCAATTCTAATTCCTTTCCTCTTCCTAATAAGGAAGGGTAAACCTTACTCATTTTTAACGTACGAACCATGAGATGAAATAAGTCAATAAAGCCTAAATTGCCTTTCTCAAATTAGAAAGCAAACTGCCCAATACGTGCCTCCTTAGAGGCAAGATCTTATTATTGCATAGTCTCTCGTTAGACAACCACTATCTCTATATCATTTGTGCGTATACACTTAACAAAACAAAAAGACAGCAGGAAGGAGGAAAAGAAAGAAAAAAAAGATCCGGTCTTACTCCTTATGCATCTATAAGGATAGTCGGAGTTCATTCCCATTGATTGAAATAGAAAATTTCGGAAGAATTTTAGGTTGGAATCCCATTCCAATTGCCTGAAATACCAAATACAAACACGGGAATCGCTGAAATATCTCTTTGATTGAAAGAGTATGTATCATAGATTACTCCATTGGAGTCCAATGGGGTTCGAAATGCAGAGATTGAAATTTGAAATAGTTCAAAATGCGTTGCCAAAAGAGCTATAAAACAATTGATACGGTTTGATTCTTGCACTCAATTAGTAGTACTTCTAGAGCCCACTTCTTCCCCACACTACGAGCGAAAGGGAAAATGTAAAGACTACCATTAAAGCAGCCCAAGCGAGACTTACTATATCCATATTATGTCCCCTATCTCTATAAATACGAAAGAATTATTCCTCACTAATAATAATGGAATCGATGACAGAGAGTCAAAAGGGGATTCTGACCAAACACTATTAAAAAACTAATTCAAAAAAAATCAATTCTTATTTTGAATCGGGAAAGATTAAACACAAGCAAAAAACGTAGTAAGATTCCAAGGAAATGGGAACATATTAGGAATAAGAATAAATAAAAGAAATAAAAAGAATAAGGTTTTTGCTTTGTTGATCTTCTAAATCAAAACAGAAGGGTATAAATCTCTGAAAAAATCATTGTCCATTACAGACCGCTATTTCCTGAATCCACACCCCACTCCCCTTCTGTTGGAGGGGGGGCTAAACTGGGGGTTGCCAAAAAGAAATTCTTTCTTTTTGCCCCCCCCCCTTAGAGATAGAGATTTTGATATTAGAGATATAGAAAAGTCAATTATTCATCCGCTCTAAAATTGATTGGATACCTGAGCACCCAGAAATTCTCGTGAGTCTGTCGTATATAAAGCAATTCCTGCTCCTTTCCAAAACTATTAATTTAATTGAATTTCCGACTGGAAGCTACATTCTGACTCAAGATCTATTCATTAGACACCCCCTTAGAAATAGAAGTCTTGATAGCCCCTCTACCAGTAAATTAGATGAATCAACGAGGATTCACATCTCTTTTAGAAAACCTTCCGGCTAGATGCTACGAAACAAATAAATAAAGTCTTTTGCTTCTACCGGGGACGAATTCAGCGAGTTATCTCAGCAAAAGAGAAGAAGAGATTTCTGGTTTTTTGTTGATCAGGCGACACCCAGGTTTGAACTGGGGAAAAAGGATTTGCAGTCCCCCGCCTTACCGCTCGGCCATGCCGCCAAAATGATACAAAATAGATGAAAATTTTTCTGGATGGCTGAATTTTTATTGTACTTGCATTTTGACTCCTGTTTTCCTGAATCCTTTTCCTAAAAGAAAAACTTTTTTTTGATTGGATTTGATCCATCCCTTCCGACGTATTGGATAGCATCTGAAAAAATGCTAAAAACATTCTCCCGCCCCTTTCTAGTGAAAAATCAAATGTGTATTTGTAGTCCACAAATTAGAACCATTAACTATTGACTGCTTACTTCGAATTCATGAACGATTCTGGGATTTGAACCTCAACTTGCATTTTCTTAATGACATAAGAAAATCAAAATGGGGGCAGAACTAATCATCTTTTGTTAACCAAAAAACCCTTCTCAATTTCAACTCTAACAAAATATATGAGTCTATGTCAACCCCAGAATAGAAATTGTTACCCAGATATCTATTTTTTAGATATGCTGTTGATAGGGAATTATCAACAAATTATCCTACTTCACTTCAATTTTGCATTGAATAGAAATTCTCTTTTGATAGAGCACGACTTTGGCTGTCCCAAATAGAATAGGCAATAAAAGAGAAGTTGGGTATTATATACAGCTATCTGCACAGGTGTTTAATAAATGCAACCCTTCTTCAAATCATCTTCGACTCAAAAAAAATCAGTAAAAGAAAATATCTGTCTTCTCTCTTAATCGTTTTGTGAGCAACAAAACCCTAACATAAAACATAAAGGGGGTTAAGTGAATTTAATCTGATTTTTTTGTCTCCCGAAGATTGTTTAATATTCTTAAATTCGATCAAATATGTAATATCATAATAATGGTATAATTTGAATCATTTCCTTTTTGTTTTGCTATTCTATAAGAAATCCCATGACCTTAATAAAAAATAAAAATAAGCGGAAATGAGACAATTCTCTTTCTAGGATTGTTTTCCCAATTCTTTTCCATTTTGATCTGTTGCAACTTTCAATTTAAGTCGAAAATTCTATTTTTTTCCTCTGTTCATACGTCGTTCGTACATTTCAGCCCAGGTGTTCGATAAAATTTCATGTGATTTAGTAAACAGAATCGAAATTCCATCAGTGCTAAATTGTCGATCTAATTCGATCAAGAATGTACTTTCTATTATATATAGAATGGGATTTTTTTATAAATGGGAAATTCAAAATGCTCAAGGATGCAAATGAGGCAATGTCTACAATACCTGGATTTAATCAGATACAATTTGAAGGATTTTGTAGATTCATTGATGAGGGTTTGAAAGAAGAATTTTCTAAGTTTCCAAAAATTGAAGATAGAGATCATGAAATCGAATTTCAATTATTTGTCGAAAGATATCAATTGGTAGAACCTTTGATAAAAGAAAGAACTGTTGTGTATGAATCACTCACATATTCTTCTGAATTATATGTATCTTCGGGATTAATTTGGAAAACTAGTAGGGATATGCAAGAACAAACTATTAGGATCGGAACTATTCCTCTAATGAATTCCCTAGGAACTTCTATAGTAAATGGAATTTATAGAATTGTGATCAATCAAATACTGCAAAGCCCCGGTATTTATTACCAATCCGAATTGGACCATAATGGAATTTCAGTCTATACCGGCACCATAATATCAGATTGGGGGGGAAGATCAGAATTAGAGATTGATAGAAAAGCAAGGATATGGGCTCGCGTGAGTAGGAAACAAAAAATATCTATTCTAGTTTTATCATCAGCTATGGGTTCGAATTTAAGAGAAATTCTAGCCAATGTTTATTATCCTGAAATTTTTTTGTCTTTTCTGAATGATAAGGAGAGAAAAAAAATTGGATCAAAAGAAAATGCCATTTTGGAGTTTTATCAACAATTTGCTTGTGTAGGTGGGGATCCGGTATTTTCTGTATCTTTATGTAAGGAATTACAAAAGAAGTTCTTTCAACAAAAATGTGAATTAGGAAAGATTGGTCGACGAAATATGAACCGACGACTGAACCTTGATATACCTCAGGACAATACATTTTTGTTACCACGAGACATATTGGCAGCCGCTGATCATTTAATCGGATTGCAATTTGGAATGGGCACACTTGATGATATGAATCATTTGAAAAACAAACGTATTCGTTCTGTAGCAGATCTTTTACAAGATCAATTCGGATTGTCTCTGGTTCGTTTAGAAAATGTTCGGGGAACTATATGTGTAGCAATTCAGGATAAATTGATACCGACTCCTCAGAATTTGGTAACTCCAACGCCATTAACAACCACTTATGAATCTTTTTTTGGTTTACACCCCCTATCTCAAGTTTTAGATCGAACTAATCCATTGACACAAATAGTTCATGGTAGAAAATTGAGTTATTTAGGTCCTGAAGGACTAACAGGGCGGACTGCTAGTTTTCGAATACGAGATATCCATCCTAGTCACTATGGTCGTATTTGCCCAATTGACACATCTGAGGGAATCAATGTTGGACTTATCGGATCCTTAGCAATTCATGCAAGGATGGGCCATTGGGGATCTCTCGAAAGCCCGTTTTATGAAATTTCGGAGAGGTCGACGGGGTTACGACTGCTTTATTTAGCACCAGGTGTAGATGAATACTATATGTTATCGGCGGGAAATTCTTTGGCGTTGAATCGGGATATTCAGGAAGAACAGGTTGTTCCAGCTCGATATCGTCAAGAATTCCTGACTATTGCATGGGAAGGGGTTCATCTTCGAAGTATTTTCCCCTTCCAATATTTTTCTATTGGAGCTTTCCTCATTCCTTTTATTGAACATAATGACGCGAATAGGGCTTTAATGAGTTCGAATATGCAACGTCAGGCAGTTCCGCTTTCTCGGCCCGAGAAATGCATTGTTGGGACTGGGTTAGAGCGCCAAGCAGCTCTAGATTCAGGGGCTATTGCTACAGTTGAACTTGGGGGAAAGATCATTTCTATAGATACTGACAAGATCCTTGTCTCAGGGAATGGAGATACTCTAAGTATTCCGTTAGTTATGTATCAACGTTCTAACAAAAATACTTGTATGCATAAAAAACCCCAGGTTCAGCGGGATAAATACATTAAAAGTGGACAAATTTTAGCAGATGGTGCTGCTACGGTCGGTGGCGAACTTGCGTTGGGGAAAAACGTATTAGTGGCTTATATGCCGTGGGAAGGTTACAATTTTGAAGATGCAGTACTCATTAGTGAGCGTTTGGTATATGAAGATATTTATACTTCTTTTCACAAACAGAAATACGAGATTCAGACTCATGTAACAAGCCAAGGCCTTGAAAGGATCACTAATGAAATACCAGATTTAGAAGCCCACTTACTTCGCAATTTAGACAAAAACGGAATTGTGATGTTGGGATCTTGGGTAGAGACCGGTGATATTTTAGTAGGTAAAGTAACGCCTCAAGTGGTGAGAGAGTCGTCGTATGCTCCCGAAGATAGATTGTTACGAGCCATACTTGACATTCCGCTATCTACTCCAAAAGAAACTTGTTTAAAACTACCGATAGGTGGTAGGGGCCGGGTTATTGATGTGAGGTGGATCCAGAAAAGAGAAGATAAGGCAGAAACAATTCGTGTATATATTTCACAGAAACGTGAAATTAAAGTCGGCGATAAAGTAGCTGGAAGACACGGAAATAAAGGTATCATTTCCAAAATTTTGCCTAGACAAAATATGCCTTATCTGCAAGATGGAAGACCTGTTGATATGGTTTTCAATCCATTAGGAGTCCCTTCACGAATGAACGTAGGACAGATATTTGAATCTTCGCTCGGGTTCGCTGGGGGTTTACTAGACAGACATTATCGAATAGCGCCTTTTGATGAGAGATATGAACAAGAAGCTTCCAGAAAACTAGTGTTTTCGGAATTATATGAAGCCAGTAAGAAAACAACAAATCCTTGGGTATTTGAACCCGAGTATCCAGGAAAAAGCAGAATATTTGATGGAAGGACGGGGAATCCTTTTGAACAACCCGTTATAATAGGAAAGCCTTATATCTTGAAATTAATTCACCAGGTTGATGATAAAATCCACGGACGTTCCCATGGACCTTATGCGCGAGTAACACAACAACCCCTTAAGGGAAGGGCAAACCGGGGAGGACAACAAGTCGGAGAAATGGAGGTTTGGGCTCTAGAAGGATTTGGTGTTGCTCATATTTTACAAGAGATGCTTACTTATAAATCGGATCATATTAGAACGCGCCAAAAAGTAGTTGGTACTACGATCTTTGGAGAAACAATACCCAAGCCTGAGGATGCTCCCGAATCATTTCGATTGCTCGTTCGAGAACTACGATCTTTAGCTCTGGAACTGAACCATTGCCTTGTATCTGAGAAAAACTTCCAGATTAAGAGGAAGGAAGCTTAATCAGAATAAATCAGAATTTTTCTTATATGATCGATCGATATAACCACCAACAGCTACGAATTGGATTAGTTTCCCCTCAACAAATAAGTTCTTGGGCTACGAAAATCCTGCCTAATGGAGAGGTAGTTGGAGAGGTGACAAAACCCTATTGTTTTCATTACAAAACCAATCAACCAGAAAAGGATGGATTATTTTGTGAAAGAATTTTTGGGCCTATCAAAAGTGGAATTTGTGCTTGTGGCAAGTATCGAGAAATCGGAGATGAAAAAGAAGACACGGAATTTTGTGAACAATGCGGGGTCGAATTTGTTGATTCTCGGATACGAAGATATCAAATGGGCTACATCAAACTCGCATGCCCAGTAACCCACGTGTGGTATTTAAAACGTCTTCCCAGTTATATTGCGAATCTGTTAGATAAACCCCTTAAAGAATTAGAAGACCTAGTATACTGCGATGTGTGATTTGATCCAAATTCTGATTTTACGGATTCCGAGTGAGAAACTGTCATCCCAGTCAATCCAATTGGGGTGCCCTCCATCTGACATGCCACTTGGTAAGTGTACCATGAAGCTCAGAATTGGGGGTGTAGTCAATACTCCCCAATCAAAAAGGGAATTGGTCTATGGTCGATTTTGAAACCAAAAAATTTTGAGATTTCTACCTCGTAAAAAAAGATTTTTTTGTTTTGTGGAATTAATCATTTATTTTCTTTTAGAAAGAAATTATGGTCAAGCAGGCAAATATGTCATGGTTACGGGAGTCTATCCATCGCGTATAGCCTTTAATCATGGACTAACCATCGGGGGGAAGTCGGGACCTAAGAGATCGAGTGGAACAATACATAGACAAATAAAGCCCTTAGGATTTACAAGGTACTTCTTTATTTTCGATTTTTATTATTTAACATTAATTAATTCGAATTAGGAATTAAGAGATTCATCATTCGGAGGGAAGTAGACTACTCAAGAATTTCACATTTCGTTTATGTCGTAATTCAATAAACAAATTAAGAAAATCGAAATAATTAGAATAAAAAAGAATAAAGAGAAAGCGGAATCGATGAAATTTTCTTTGATCTTGGCGAGGAACTTGAGTAAGGAGTAGTTTTAGGGTTTTATAGAATTTGAAAGCAAGAACTCCTTTCTGTACCTACTTGGGCCGGATGAAAGGAAACTTTCACGTCCGATTTTGAAGGGGGTGAGATCCTATAGGATCCTATCCCAATTTTGCTTTTGCTAGGCCCATAACCAAAAAACCCACTTTCTTTCGATTACGAGGTTTATTCGAATATGAAATCCAATCTTGGAAATACAGCATCCCACCTTTTTTTACTACCCAAGGTTTCGATACATTTCGCAATCGAGAAATCTCTACCGGTGCGGGTGCTATTCGAGAACAATTAGCCGATCTAGATTTACGCATTATTCTAGATAATTCGTTGGTAGAATGGAAAGAATTAGGAGAAGAAGGGCCCGGGGGGAATGAATGGGAAGATCGAAAGGTTGGAAGAAGAAAGGATTTTTTGCTTAGACGCATGGAATTGGCTAAATATTTTCTTCGAACAAATATAGAACCAGAATGGATGGTTTTGTGTCTATTACCACTTCTTCCTCCTGAGTTAAGACCCGCGATTCAGATAGATGAGGGTAAATTTATGAGCTCGGATATTACTGAACTCTATAGAAGAGTTATCTATCGGAACAATATTCTTACCGATCTATTAACAACAAGTAAATTTATGCCAGAAGAATTAGTAATGTCTTAGGAGAAGTTAATACAAGAAGCCGTGGATGCACTTCTTGATAATGGAATCCGGGGGCAACCGATGAAGGACGGTCATAATCAAGTTTACAAGTCATTTTCAGATGTAATTGAAGGAAAAGAGGGAAGATTTCGTAAGACTTTGCTTGGCAAACGAGTTGATTATTCAGGGCGTTCCGTCATTGTCGTAGGCCCTTCCCTTTCATTACATCGGTGTGGATTGCCGCGCGAAATAGCAATCGAGCTTTTCCAGCCATTTGTAATTCGCGGTCTAATTAGACAACATCTTGCTTCGAGCATAGGAGTTGCTAAAAGTCAAATTCAGGAAAAAGAACTGATTGTGTGGGAAATACTTCAGGAAGTTATGCAGGGGCATCCTGTATTACTGAATAGAGCACCCACTCTGCATAAATTGGGCATACAGGCATTCCAGCCCGTTTTGGTTGAGGGGCGTGCTATTTGTTTACATCCATTAGTTTGTAAGGGATTCAATGCAGATTTTGATGGGGATCAAATGGCTGTTCATGTACCTTTATCTTTGGAGGCTCAAGCGGAGGCCCATTTACTTATGTTTTCTCATATGAATCTTCTGTCTCCAGCTATTGGAGATCCCATTTCTGTACCAACCCAAGATATGCTTATTGGACTCTATGTATTAACGGGCGGGAATCGCCGAGGTATTTGTGAAAATAGGTATAATCCAAGGAATCGCAAAAACTATCAAAATCAAAGAAGTAAGAATACTCAATCTACGAAAGAACCTTTTTTTTCTAATTCCTACGATGCAATTGGAGCTTATCGGCAGAAGCGAATCAATTGCGATAGTCCTTTGTGGCTCCGGTGGCGACTAGATCAACGGGTTATTGTTTTACAAGAAACTCCCATCGAAGTTCACTATGAATCTTTAGGTACTTATTATGAGATTTATTGCCACTATCTAATAGTAAGAAGTCTAACAAACGAAATTCTTTTTCTATACATTCGAAGCACTGTTGGTCATATTTCTCTTTATCGCGAAATCGAAGAAGCCATACAGGGGTTTTCTCGGGCCTATTCATAGGTACCTAAGTAGGCTAAGGAATTCTCTAATACCGGCGGCAGGAATTCAGATCTCTTCACTTCAAGAAGTCCCATACTTTCGGAATGTCTACACGAATCAAGATCAAGAAAAGGGAGTTTTCCAATCACTGACTTAAACCCATTGTAGAATTGTACTCAGCATAATAGGGAGGTACTTATGGCAGAACGGGCCGATCTGGTATTTCACAATAAAGTGATAGACGGAACTGCCATGAAAGGACTTATTAGTAGATTCATAAATCACTTCGGAATGGCATATACATCACACATCCTGGATCAAGTAAAGGCCTTAGGTTTTCAACAAGCTACTGCTACATCTATTTCATTAGGAATTGATGATCTTTTAACAATACCCTCGAAGAGATGGCTAGTTCAAGATGCTGAACAACAAAGTTGTATTTTGGAAAACCACCATCATTATGGGAATGTACATGCGATAGAAAAGTTACGCCAATCCATTGAAATATGGTATGCCACAAGTGAATATTTGCGACAAGAAATGAATCCTAATTTTAGGATGACTGACCCCTTTAATCCAGTTCATATAATGTCTTTTTCGGGGGCTAGAGGAAATGCATCGCAGGTACATCAATTAATAGGTATGAGAGGATTAATGTCGGACCCTCAAGGACAAAGGATTGATTTACCTATTCAAAGCAATTTACGTGAAGGGCTTTCTTTAACGGAATATATAATTTCTTGTTACGGGGCCCGTAAGGGGGTTGTGGATACTGCTGTACGAACAGCAGATGCTGGATATCTCACGCGCAGACTTGTTGAAGTAGTTCAACACATTGTTGTACGTCGAACAGATTGTGGCACCGTCCGTGGTATTTCTGTGAGTCCTCGGGATGGAATGGTGCCAGACGGGATTTTTATCCAAACATTAATCGGTCGTGTATTAGCCGATGATATATATATGGGCAAGCGCTGTGTTGCCACTCGAAATCAAGACATTGAGAGTGGACTTGTAAATCGATTCATAACCTTTCGAGCACAACCAATAGTTATTCGAACCCCTTTTACTTGTAGGAGTGCATCTTGGATCTGTCGATTATGTTATGGACGGGGTCCTACTCACGGTGACCTGGTTGAATTAGGAGAAGCTGTAGGTATTATTGCAGGACAATCGATTGGAGAACCGGGTACTCAATTAACATTAAGAACTTTTCATACCGGTGGAGTATTCACGGGGGGTACTGCAGAACATATGCGAGCCCCTTCGAATGGAAAAATCAAATTCAATGAGGATTTGGTTCATTCGACACGCACACGCCACGGATATCCCGCGTTTTTATGTTCTATAAACTTCTATGTAACTATTGAGAGTAAAGATCTTCGACATAATCTTAATGTAAATATTCCCCCAAAAAGTTTTCTTTTAGTTCAAAACGATCAATATGTAGAATCAGAACAAGTGATTGCCGAGATTCGCGCAGTAACATCCACTTTGAATTTTAAAGAGAAGGTTCGAAAACATATTTATTTGGACTCAGGCGGAGAGATGCATTGGAGCACTGAGGTGTATCATGCACCCGAATTTACATATGGTAATGTTCGTTTATTACCAAAAACAAGTCATTTATGGATATTATTAGGAGGCTCGCGCAGATCTAGTCTAGTTTCACTTTCGCTACACCAGGATCAAGATCAAATGGGTGCGCATTCTCGTTCTGTCAAGAGAAGATCTACTTCTAACTTCTCAGGAATGAACGATCAGTCAAGACAAAAATTCTTTAATCCCCGTTGGGGGGGTAAAAAAGAAGATAGAATTCCTGATTATTCAGACCTTAGTCGACGTATATGTACTGGTCGTTGTAATCTCATAGACCCGATCACTCTACACCAAAGTTCCGATTTATTCTCAAAGAGACGAAGAAATAGATTCATCATTCCACTCGAATCGATTCGAGAACGCGCGGACGAACTAATGCCCCCCTTAGGTATCTCGATGGAAATCCCCCCAATGGCATTTTCCGTGGAAACAGTATTCTTGCATATTTCGATGATCCTCGATACAAAAGAAAAAGAAAGAGTTCGGGCATTACGAAATACGAGACTTTAGAAATGCATTCAATCCTCAAAAAAGAGGATTTGATTGAGTATCGAGGGGGCAAGGAATTTAGGCCAAAATACAAAATCCAAGTAGACCGCCTTTTTTTCATTCCCGAAGAAGTGCATATCTTGCCTGACTCTTCTTCCATAATGGTACGGAATAATAGTATCATTCGGAAAGATACACAAATTACTTTCAATATAAAAAGTCGAGCGGATGGGTTGGTCCGAGTGGAGAGAGAAAAAAAGAATTGAACTTCAAATCTTTTCTGGAGATATCCATTTTCCTCTAGAGATAGATAAGATATCCCGACATAGCGGCGCTTTGATACCACCAGGGGCGGAAAAACCAAATTCCAAAGAATCAAAAAAATGGAAAAATTGGATCTATGTTCAACGAATCACACCTAGTAAGAGGAAGAAAAATTCTTTTGCTTTGCTTCGGCCTGTCATCACATATGAAATAACGGATGGTATAACTTTAGCAAGGCTTTTCCCCCCCGATCTGTTGCACGAAAGGGATAATGTGCAACTTCAAATTGTCAATTATATCCTTTATGGAAATGGGAAACCAATTCCAGGAATTTCTGATACAAATATTCAATTAGTTCGGACTTGTTTAGTATTGAATTGGGACCAAGACAAAAAAAGTTCTTCTAGTCAAGAAGCTCGTGCTTCCTTTGTTGAAATAAAGTCAAATGGTTTGATTCGCCCTTTCCTAAGAATCGACTTAGTGAAATCCATTCTTTCATATATTGGAAAAAGGAATGATTCGCTGGGCTCCAGATTGTTTTCTGATAATGGATCAGATTGTACCAACATCACTTCGCTTTCTTCCGTTTATTCCAGGGCAAGAATTCAACAACCCCCTAATAAAAATCACAGAACTATTCATACGTTATTGAATAGAAATACGGGATTCCAATCGGTGATAATTTTGTCATCATCCAATTGTTTTCGAATGGGTCCATTCAACGATAGAAAATATCACCGTGTGATAAAAGAATCAATTCAAATTCCAAAAGATCCTCTAGTTCCAATTAAGAATTCGCTGGGGCCTTTAGGAACAGCCTTTCGAATTACGAATGTTTATGAATTTTACCATTTACTAACTCATAACCAGATCTTGGCAAATAACTATTTACACCTTGATAATTTAAAACAGACTTTTCATGGAATTAACTATTATTTAATCGGTGAAATTGAGAAAATTTATAACCCCGACTCTTGCAGTAACATTATTTTCAATTTGAATTGGGATTTTATCCACCCCAATTATTGTCAAGAAACATCTACAATAATGAGTCTTGGGCAGTTTATTTGTGAAAATATATGTATAACCAAAAACGCACCACACCTAAAATCGGGTCAAGTTATACTTGTTCAAGTTGACTCTGTAGTAATACGATCTGCTAAGCCTTATTTGGCCACTCCAGGAGCAACTGTTCACGGCCATTATGGGGAAATCCTGTATAAAGGAGATACTTTAATTACATTTATTTACGAAAAATCGAGATCTGGCGATATAACCCAGGGACTTCCAAAAGTCGAACAGGTGGTAGAAGTGCGTTCGATTGATTCAATATCGATGAATCTAGAAAAGAGGGTTGAGGGCTGGAACGAGCGTATAACAAGAATTCTTGAAATGCCGTGGACATTCCTGATTGGTGCTGAGCTCACTATCGTGCAAAGTCGTATCTCTTTGGTTAATAAGATCCAAAAAGTTTATCGATCCCAGGGGGTGCGGATTCATAATAGGCATATAGAAATTATTGTACGTCAAATAACATCAAAGGTCTTGGTTTCAGAAGATGGAATGTCTAATGTTTTTTCACCCGGAGAATTAATTGGATTGTTGCGGGCGGAACGAACGGGGCGTGCGTTGGAAGAGGCGGTTTCTTACCGAGCCCTCTTATTGGGAATAACAAGAGCATCTCTCAATACTCAAAGTTTTATATCTGAAGCGAGTTTTCAAGAAACCGCTAGGGTTTTAGCAAAAGCAGCTCTCCGGGGTCGAATCGATTGGCTGAAAGGCTTGAAAGAAAACGTGGTTGGGGGGGGTATGATACCCGTCGGTACCGGGTTGAAAGGATTAGTGCTCCCCTCAAAACAACATAACAAGAGCCCCCTGGAAACAAAAAAAAACAATATATTCGAGGGGGAAATGCGCGATATTTTGTTTCACCACAGCAAATTATTTGATTCTTTCAAAGAATTTCCGCGAGAGGCCGAACAATCCTTTATAGGATAGATTCCTAAAGGCAGATTTTTCTTTTTGACTATCTGTATTTGGTACAATTAGTAAGGGTGGAAATCAAAATAAATAGTAAGCAATAGAAAAGACTAATAACTTGTTCGTCTATCTACGACCAAGCTGCGGTAGAAGAGAAGGTTCCATCGGAACAATTATTTATTTCAGTTTCGGGGTTCCTCGTCTCTTTTTAAAAAAAAAGGGGGGGTTGGGAAGAAATGACAAGAAGATATTGGAACATCAACTTAGAAGAGATGCTGAAGGCAGGAGTTCATTTTGGGCACGATATTAGGAAATGGAATCCTAAAATGGCACCTTATATCTCTGGAAAGCGTAAAGGTAATCATATTACAAATCTTATAAGAACTGCTCGTTTTTTATCCGAAGCCTGCAATTTGGTTTTTTATGCAGCAAGTAGGCGAAAACAATTCTTGATTGTTGGTACACAAAAGAAAGAAGCTGATTCAGTAGCATGGGCTGCAAAAAAGGCTCGGTGTCATTTTGTTAATAAAAAATGGCTCAGGGGGATGTTAACGAATTGGTCCACTACAGAAACGAGACTTCATAAGTTGAGGGACTTAAGAATAGAACAAAGAGTGGGAAGACTAAACCGCCTTCCGAAAAGAGATGCGGCTGTGGTGAAAAGACAATTATCCCGCTTGCAAACATATCTGGGCGGGATTAAATATATGACAAGGTTACCCGATGTTGTAATTATTCTTGATCAGCATGAAGAATATACGGCTCTGCGAGAGTGTATCACTTTGGGAATCCCAACAATTTGTTTAATCGATACAAATTGTGACCCCGACCTTGCAGATTTTTCGATTCCGGCGAATGATGATAGTAGATCTTCAATCCGCTTAATTCTTAATAAATTAGTATTCGCAATTTGTGAGGGCCGTTCTAGCTATAAAAGAAATCCTTGATTACTAATCAAATAAATAACTTAGACTTCGTAAATCTGATAGATTTTTGGAATCGGTTTTTTTCTGCATTTTTGAAATAAAATCGGTAAAAATAAATGGAGATATTATGTGATTAGTTCGTATTCAAAATATTTTTTGATATTGAAAAGATCCAACTCAAGGAGAGAAAGGGGTGGTTGAATCAAAATAATTTTTCTTTAAAGTTCTAGTTTTTCGGGGGGCAATATGAATGTGCTATCATGTTCCATTAATACACTAAAAGGGTTATACGATATATCTGGGGTCGAAGTAGGCCAACATTTCTATTGGCAAATAGGGGATTTCCAAGTCCACGGCCAAGTACTTATTACCTCTTGGGTTGTAATTGCTATTTTATTAAGTTCAGCTACTATAGCTGTTCGGAACCCACAAAGCATTCCGACCGGGGGTCAGAATTTTTTCGAATATGTTCTGGAATTCATTCGAGATGTGAGTCAAACTCAAATTGGAGAAGAATATGGCCCTTGGGTTCCTTTTATTGGAACTATGTTTCTATTTATTTTTGTTTCTAATTGGTCAGGAGCTCTTTTACCTTGGAAAATCATAGAATTACCTCGTGGAGAGTTAGCTGCACCCACGAATGATATAAATACTACTGTTGCTTTGGCTTTACTCACATCAGTGGCATATTTCTACGCGGGTCTTAAAAAAAGGGGACTAAGTTATTTCGGGAAATATATTCAACCAACCCCAATTCTTTTACCCATTAACATTTTAGAAGATTTCACAAAACCCTTATCGCTTAGTTTTCGACTTTTTGGAAATATCTTAGCGGATGAATTAGTAGTTGTTGTTCTTGTTTCTTTAGTACCTTTAGTAGTTCCTATCCCTGTCATGTTCCTTGGATTATTTACAAGTGGTATTCAAGCTCTTATTTTTGCAACTTTAGCCGCGGCCTATATAGGTGAATCTATGGAGGGCCATCATTGAAATAGTTTTTTTTAACTTAGCACAAAGCAAGATATGTGCGGCTGAATCTAATTTACTTGAGGAATAGAAATATACAAGACTCTATATGCGATAGAAAGCAATAGGAACAAAAAAAAGAACAAATTACGATATTAGAAAGTTGTAAAAAAAAAAAAGGAAAGAGATCTTTTAGATCTTTTTCCTAAAATTATCCTTTCGTCCACCTAACACCCTAACCCTTCGACGAATATCGCCCTTCTATTATATTGGTAGGCCGGCCAATCTTCTTATTCCAATTCGGATTTGAATAAGATATATGTTTACAACGTGTGATTAAATAAAAAGCAAAAGAAGGGATTTAACTTTACTTTATGCTTGATGCTTGATTTTATTCAACAATTGCCCCCCCCAAAAAAAAATAGTAATAAATAAGAAATTGCATGAACTTAGATTAACCAAATAAGGCTATTTCTATGCAAGCAAAAATTCGCCCTAATCAAATTTAACAGTCCGTTTAGAATGTATTCGATTGGAATAATGATAAAGAAAGCGGAAGGGAGAAAAGAATTTATAATAAAGAGGGAATTCCTAACAAAATGAATTAATTCTCGAATCCAATTGAATCTAACGGTTTACGTTATGGAAGAATGGCATGTATATGTGATATTAGATATTGATTAGTTATATATGAACTAAAATATGTATGAACTAAAATATGAACTAAACCTATATTTTTCCCCACTACTATGTGTGAAAAGTCATTTCGTATCGTTGTGGCTTGACTTTGAATTGGCTAAATAAAAAGTTGAAATCAAGAAAAAGATGAAAGGATTGAAACACGACTTCAGAAACAAGAAATGGAAAAGCGACAGTTCTATGACTTCCCAAAAACTCTCTGGATAGAAAGGAAAAGGGAGATATCAAACAAAGTAGTTCAGATTATTCAAGAATATTCTTACTTAAATTCGAGGTTCTTAGTTACTTCAATCTTATCGATGGAATACTAATTCATTGGTTGATTGTATCATTAACCATTTCTTTTTGTTGGTAAGAGGAACTTATCATGAATCCACTTATTTCTGCTGCTTCCGTTATTGCTGCTGGATTGGCTGTAGGGCTTGCTTCTATTGGGCCTGGGATTGGTCAAGGGACTGCCGCAGGCCAGGCTGTAGAGGATCGCGAGACAGCCCGAGGCAGAGGGAAAAATGCGAGGTACTCTATTGCTTAGTCTAGCTTTTATGGAAGCTTTAACGATTTATGGATTGGTTGTAGCATTAGCACTTTTATTTGCGAATCCTTTTGTTTAATTGTTGAATCTCAGAAAACACATATTTTTTTTTCTATTTTCTTACCTTGGGCTTGTCGTTTGCTTTTTCAAATTAGATCAAGATTTCTCCCCTACAACTCCTTAATATAACCTACGGGAAGGGCTGATTCGAAGACGAAGAATTAGCATATCGACTCTCTTTCATCCTTCCCCTTCGTAGGCAAGAGAAACTCTTTTTATGAGGTGTTGCAACAATCAAGGAGTAG